CCCCCATGCCCAATCTTACATTTGACTGCTTATGCAGATGTTGAATAGGAGGACATACAATGACAATCATTTTTTTCTGTGGTTACCTTGCATCTTCCACCTCCAAATGTGGCCTAATTATAAACTAGGGAGTTTGAGCTATAAAAGATATGGGTTGATTTTGTAACAGTAAAGTTCAATTAATAATACAAAAGCAACATTTTTCTCATGAAGTCACCAAATAGAGCACAAGCAATTCTCAACATGTGAACATCTAACTTATGGAGGATGGTGATAAATGACCAGGACTTCAACATTTAAAAAACACTTCTTTAGTGATAGAACACTCATTCACCCCCACTCCCACAAGTACTGCCTCCCTCCTCCCTGACCTGGGAGGCTGCACCATTGTTAGCTGAAAACCACGGATGACTAGAGGTTTTTAATGTAAGTCTCTGGTTCCAAATGCACTGCTCAATCATAACCTAACAACCACCACGAATGCCATTACTATGCCCAAGTATGAAGATCATGACGGGAGCCAGAGATGCTACTTTGGTTTCGGTAGACAACTGCTTTATCTCTTTGCATTGGTGACTAGTAGAGTTAAAAGATGGGTAAGGTAAGGCCAGTACCTTGTTTCTCAGGGCTGGGTCTGCCCCTGCTTCCAGGAGCAGCGCGACTGTTTTAATATTCCCACTGAGCACTGCAGCATGGAGCGCTGATGTCCCATTCTAAGAGAAAACGACAGTGTGTATCAGTCATGAGCTCACAACCATCGGCACACAGCCTGGCTTTCATCATCAACCAGCCTGAGTGATGAGATTGTAATGTCGGAGCCTAACTCTTCCTTACATTCCCTTTTCAAAGTTATGTCAGCATCCCAAATAGCGTCCTCAGGTACAGAGTAGACGGTCAACGTAGATATTGCCAATGTTCTTTTACAAGTGAAACAAGAAATCTGGCTTATGGTGCACTTGACCTCATGATCACTCGATCAGTTTTATATACATTAGAACTTGCTGTGAAAAAAACAACAATACTTTGTCAAACACTTTTTCCCTCAAGGACAACATATGGGTCTTTGTGCTTTTGGTGTGCCACTTCCAGCAAGGCTGGAATGGCTGGCTAGCCAACCGGTCGGCCTGTCAGCACACATGTTCTGCTCACTCAGGCAGGCAGGAAAGCAACTGTGCAATTAGAAGGCATAAGAGTAAGACTGTGTGGGGTGAGGAAACCTCCCTGAGCTCTGAGTTGGAGCACTGCTGAGCATAGAAGGGGCATAGTGGATAGGCTGCTAATATTTCATGAAATTCATCACAAATGTTTATTGAAATAAGGAATACACGTGCAGCACATAGCTGGATCCTGGGAGGGGAGAAGAGAATATCACAAACCTAATATAAGAATGAGGGAGAGTCATACGACACCTGTTCCAGAAAGTACACATGTCTGTGAATAGTACCTAAATGCAAGCTTGGTTTCCAAATTAGCTACTTATAATGATAATTTAAAAAAAAACACCCCACTTTCTTATTTTTGTAAAAGAGTAAAGTATCATACCCAGAGAAAAATTCCAGCAAAGCAGCATTTTTCCATGTTTGCTTTTATAATCTGTATGGCAGTTCACTAATAAGATAACATTTCACTTACCTAAATCTGAACCAACCTATCAAATGCACCTATGTGTGACAGGGCCAAGAATTAAAAAACAAGCCAAAATAGAGCTGTGTGAAATGAGACTAGACATTACAAAGTCCATTTCTGAAGCTCCTTTGTTTTATTCATAGAAAGTTTACTTTCACAGACTATTTATTCTTATTTTACAAACAATTTGAACAAGCGCAGCTTTCTGGCTACCAAGTTCATGGAAGATTAGCAGCAGCTCATTGGGACAAAGGAGAACGGTGAGCACACTGACAACAGCTCTGTATCAGCTGACAGCAAGAACAGAGCCTAAAGACATAAAGATCAGGGTGTCCAAAAGCCTCTGGGGACACTCAAGGGCAAGTCGACTTTATACATATCAATAAACCCTGAAGGCACAACCCACAAAATGCTAAGCCACTGTCCTAAGTTTAGAAAAAGTTTGGTGTCCTTTTAGGAAAACAGGAGCGTGTATACCAGGGGTCAGCAAACTACAGCCCGCAGGCCAAATCTAACCTGTCGCCTGTTTTTCTATGTCCTGGCAAGCTGAGAATTCAAAAAAATTAAGCGAGGAATATTTTGTGACCCTTGAAAATATGAAATTCCAGAAATACTATGTCCATACATAAATTTTATTGGCATGCAGCTACACTGTGGGTTTTTGTTTTTTGTATTTTCTATGGCTGCTTTTGTGCTACAATGGCAGAGTTGAGCAGTTGCAACAGAGATTGTATAGGCTGCAAAGCTTCAAATATTTACTACCTGACCCTTTATTGAAAAAGATTGCCGACCCTGGTATATACTCTAGCTTAGAAATATTTTAATCCAAAGTGATTAAAACTTAAAACAGAGTTTTGAGGCTCTGTTTTCTGGAAGACCCGGCTCTTCAGAATGACACATTCTCTGAGGTGTCCAGATGTTTGAGGCTTATTTTGTTTCACCTAAAGTAACAATGTGGTCCTTTGCTCCAAGTAATGAAGAAAAGAAACATGAGCACCTGTCCCTCATGTTTTGTGGGACACACATCATGTGTTTCATGATTTCTGGAAAATTTTACAAATCCTCCAATGATATAGCAATATGGTTAACTTTCTATTAGAGATTTCATTGGTATGTCTATTTTTTTTTCTGGAAAAGTAGGTACTGACAGACTCTGGTTCATTCTCTTTACTATCTTCTCATTTTTACCAGTGACCATAAATTGCCAGCATTAAAAAGTGGTAGGTATGTTCTTTCAATAATACAACTGACCATGTGAATTATACCCAGATTCTACTGCAGTCCCAAGTATAGACTTCTTAATTTCTAATCTCTTTTTTTTACAGATTGGTAAAATTTCTCTTTAGCTCTTACCTTCAAAATACCAAGAGTGGGTGAGAATTTCAGCAACTCCTCTATAACATCATTATACCCTTTGTTGGCTGCTTTCAGTAACGCTGTTGTACCATCCTTCACAGACAGAGGAAAAAACAAGTTGATTATTAACATATGTGTGTGTTGGCTGAGAACTAAATGTTAGTTGAAAACTAGGAATATGCTTGTCAGAAACAGGCAAAATGTGCAAAACACAGACCCATGATCTCTCTTAATCTAGAAACATTCTAGAGAATATTAAACAGTTAATTCTGTGTGAAAGAATACTAGACAAAATACATGACTTCTTATATAACCTGAGAACCCTGCCATTTGGGAATTCATAATCTTGCAGTCCCTTAGAACACTGGGTAAGGGACAAGGGGAATTTCAAGAGCATATTTTTAGGACATTGATGGGCTGAAGAGGCATTCTCTGCAGTTCATGACTTAGCAGAAAGTAATTGTTGAACTGTTTGCAATGATTTAAATAATTCTTGAACTGTATTTACTGTTTTAAAATTTAAAATGTGTTTTTCATTTTGCCTTCTTGTGTATGTAACCTTGCTCTAATCTGCCCTAGGTATCTGTTTGCCTGTGGTGGTGGGGGAGATAGTGAGAGGAGGAAGAGGATAGATTGAAATCTGTTAAAAAAAAAAAGAATGCAGAGACAAGTTCAATATTAATATTCCGCACTTTCATCATTTTGGCTTGAGAAGAGATTTTTCCAGATTCCTTCTTCTCCTGCTTTAACACATCAATTGCCGTATTTGGAGGATTTAGCTTACAGAGTTGTCCTGTAGTAAAGCAAGGGTCCCAGCCTGCTCTAAAGGTTTAGCTGGAATCAGGAAGGAAGGTGAGAAAAGAGTTTTCTTTTCTGGCATATGAGACTGTGGAAAGCAGAAAAGGCATGGGGGAGGGGAAATGAAGTGGTCAGGAATGTGCCTTCTGGTTCGCCCTTTTTTTGGTGAGTGGAGGTGGGTCTCATAAATGAGAGTAATACCAAGGGCAAAGAGACCAGACACTGTTACAAACAAACAAACAAACAAACAAACAAACAAACACAAACAAACAAACAAACAGAAACCCTGAACAGCATAGTGGGGTCAGGCAGCAGGGTCTCCCCAAGCCGTCCTTAGTCCCTATGGGGCAGGGGTCGGCAAACTTTTGAAATGGATGAGCCACCAGGGGTCAGCAAACTGCGGCTCTGCGAACTGTGTCTCTGAAGTAAAATTGAAAATGAAAATAAAACTATCATAGTTTCACTTATAAAATTTTTAAAGGGTATTAGTCACATAATGGTGATTATGTAAAAATATATTTATGGCTCTTGAATAACTTTTAAATTGTTGTGAGGGACAGGATTGGCTCNAGCTTTATACTCTCAAACTCTGTTGTCAAGTTTTGGTCAATCACATCACTGTTCTGTGTGTCATCCAGATAGTTCTAAAAACCTGGTCTCATTCTTCCTCTCTTTTGGTTGGACCCTGCTGAATCTCAGGTTGCTGAGGTTGAGATGACTGTTATGATGGCTAGTGCCTCAGCCAGCCCCTAAAGTCCATCATATTCATTATGGAGCAGGGCCATAGGTCCGTATTCAAGGTAGCACAGGATCGAACCACCCTATTTCCCCACTGCTCCTGGGAGAAGATGTGTTCTGAGTCCTCAGTTGGGACTATCGGGAACACAGGACCCCTGCATCCATGGTGATGGCTGTAGTGTGGGGCCGGCTATTGGGCCCATCGGTTACCCTCTCCTCAGACATCTGCCTCGAAGTCCCTGAGCAGAAGTCCTGGAAGCCCTGGAGCAGAAGAGGCCTGGAGCTTAGAAGTCAGTTTCTCTGGGAAGCCTTACATAGCATTTTTGTACTTCCCTGCTGATAGCTCTTGTCATTTTGTATTGCAGTTGCTTAATTGTTTTTATTCCCCTACTAAACTCTGAGCTCCATGGAGGCAAGGACTATGTGAATCTTATTCATCATTGTCTCCCCAGTACAAGCACAGTGCATGGCATCTACCAGGCATTCTCTCAGTGTTTGTTGAATGGATGAATGAATGATTGAATGAAGGCCAAGAACACCCCCTCGAGAGTCCTAGATGTATGTTGGAATCCTAACATTCTTGCTTTTAGAGCTTCCTTTAAAAAGGCTGGCTTCTGTGGGGTGTCTGGTGGGTGGGTGAGGGGTTCCCTGGCAGCTCTCTAATGGTTTCTGCAGTATGAAACTCCAACATAAGCAGCCCACTCATATATTCAAGTAGTTCTAGGGAGGTTCCAAAGTCCAGCATTGTGGTCGCCGAAAATTCCCCATAACCAGTATTGCTGAGATTCCAGGAGTCACACAAGGAATTGCATCCTTCAGTTTCTAAGGAAAATAATGTTTCCCCCTTCTCTTAACTCAGCACTGGATAGCTTAGTAACAAAGATTGGTTTCTTATGGACGTCAGCGTCCA